AGTACGTTCTGTATATATTTGTTTTAATAAAAACATATTTATATATATTTATGTATTTATATGCACACAAAAGGTTTTTATGTACTTAATAAATACTTTTTTTATATATAAGCTTTTTAAGGTATACATGGGTATAATAACGTATTTTACATAAATTTATTTCATGCGTTTTCATATAACTGTGTTTTTATAAATAGGTATTTAAAATAATTTTTTTTATAAATAGGTATTTTGCATAGAAAAATATTTTTAAAAAAAGGTTTTTATATAAGTATTTTACATACAAAAATGTTTTTCTTTTAAATTATATAGAAACAAGAAGGGTTTTTATGTGAAATATATATATTTTATTTTTGTATAAATATGATTTTATACAACAAACAAAACATATTCAAATTTTTTCCAAAAAAATGTAAAAACCTTAATTTATGATGAAATTGTAACAAAATTTTCTAATCTAGGCAAAAAGTGTAAATTTTAGACCAAATTTGTAATAAATATTAGATTCTGGGCCAAACATGTAATTTTTGAAATTGGGATGACATGTTGACCGGGTAAAATGGTTAAATTGAATACAATTTCCAATTTTGTTGGACTTAACTGAATAAAAAAAACATATAATGACTAAATCGATTATTAGGTCAAAACATAAAGATTTTTATGGAGTTTTTTAAAGAAAGTTTTTCCTTTAAATAAATTTAAATTCTATCATAAATTGATCGTTTAAAATTAAAAACTTTAAATTATATACATAAGTTTCCTTTAAAATGGTTGCTTGGTAAATTGTGATGAAAATTAAACTGAAAGGTTCTAATATTTTAATTATAATAACAAAATAATGCTTCAAACAATTTCAAAACTTTTGATTCGGTTAAAAATGATTTGTGAATGGTTGCAGTAAAAAATCACCCTCTTAAGGCGTGTTTGGCATATAGCGTTTTAGAGTTTCTAACTTCTAGCGATTGACAAAACGCTCCATTTTGAACAAAAAACTTTGTTTGACACTACAAGTTTTTAGCGTTTAGTTTAAACAAATCGCTACATATATAAAAGTTATCTCACGTAGCATTTAGCAAAACACTACTAGCTACCAACTACCTGGGACTCGTTTTTCGCTACTAACTATTTTGCCGAACGAGCTCTTAGTTATTTCATTAAATAATATTTAATTAGAAAAGATCAAAAAAATATTTATATCCATTCAATATTTAGTTGGTTTATTAAATAATATATAATTAAAATATACGTTTTATTTGCAAAACTAAAATTATTAGTGCATAGAGTAATGATATTAAATTTTAATTTCCACTTGTTAAGTCGTCCATTTAAATCTAGAATGGGAAAACAAATTTGCAGGTCGTGCTTAGGTGCCTTGCCAACCCTCCCCACTTCAAATTTCATCATCAGTCTTCATTTCTTAGTCCCTCCATCTATAAATAGAACGACAAACCTCCCCACTTCCATGGCTGAAATCTAGAAATATCACAAAGCAGAGAAAGAGAGAAGAACCACATACAGTCATACACTCTCCAAGATGCCTTGCGTCCAGATCTCCACCAACGTTTGCCTCGACGGCGTTGACACCGATCCGATCTTCTCCGAAGCCACCAAAGCCGTCGCTGAAATCATCGGCCGCCCTGAGAAAGTAACTCTCTCTCTCTCTCTCTCTCTCTCTCTCTCTCTCTCTCTCTCTCAGAGTGTGGGAGAAATGTTCATCTCGAACATATTTGTGAAAATTTTATATGATTTGGTATGATTTACTTCGATTATATGAATTTATTCGACTTTCATTTCTTCAATATCCTGAAAACTCGGAGATGCGGTTCTTATCGGAGCTTACTTGATTTGATCATTTGAACACGAGATTGAGGTTTTGTTTCATTTTTAAGCGTCAATATCGTAAATATGTCATCTGGAAACCGATTTGAATCATTGTTTCATTTTAGTCTCAAATCTAGAAATACTTCAAAAATCTGGTATGCTTATGAGGAAAATTAATACGTAATCAACCAAGTTATTTATATTATCAAATTCCTTTCATATATAGTTTCTCTTTATTTTTAATTAGTGAAATTATTTTGAACTATTGGTTGATGATCAATCATGCAAAGCTTCTGAGAAATGAAATTTTGTGGGAGATAGTATTTTAAATTTTAGGTTGATTTGGATAAGAAATCAAAGTGATTTTTTTGGGTCCTATTGCGTCCATCTTTTTTAAGATAACTATCATATTTTGCTACGACTGTTGTTGATATTGATTTGAGTTTATAAAAATTGTTTTATTTTGTTTTTATTATAAAATAACAATTGTCATCTTTCATAAAGGCATTTTTAAGGTTTATAAAACATTTTTTTTTTTGAATTTAGCTTATCTTTTTATTTGATTTATATTGAAATGTAATTCACTTGTTTTGTCTTCTATTGAATCATAAAATACAATCAAATATGTGTATTTTTTTTTATGAAAAGTTAAAGATAAAGTAAAAATCAATAATATTTTTCCCTTATGGAATGATGCAGAGAAATGGTCCAAAGAATGTATTTGATATCGATATTTTTCTAATATATTTGATCATTGCATTTTGTGAAATATAATACATATTTTTTGTTATATAGTTTTAATAAATTTAGTTAGTTTTTTCAATTACATATTTTTTGTTATATAGTTTTAATAAATTAAGTTAGTTTTTTAATTTAGCAATATCATAAAAAACTAATAAGAAACTAGAATATTAATTACGCATTATTATTTTAGTAAAAGATATATGAATAAAAAAATAATTTACTTTTATGGTGCCACCATATTTCTTTCAGGACCCAAAAACAATAAAACAGTGTTTTTTAAATGATATTTCTGTGTGATAAATATAAAACACAAATAAATTAAACATTTATATATATTTGGAATAAACAAACCTGTGTAAATACAAAAATTAAACATTTTATTTGTGTTCCCACATAACTCATGGGATTATGGGACCATTTGTCAAAAAAAACAAACATAATACATTATGTCAAATGAAAACATTTATATATTTTTGGAAAAAAAGATGGAAAAACATATAAAATAAATATTACATAACATTTGAAAAAAAAAATTATACTAAATCAAAGAAATAATTTGTTTGATAAAATTGAAAATAACATAATATCATTTATATCCCATATTGTTATGATTTTAAATATTAACGTCATCTTTTTAATAATTTATTTTATTAAAATTAATACCTAGTTCTATTAAACAATTAAAATCAATTAATACAATCAAGATACAAAAATATAAAAATTAAACAAAAAAACACAAGACGTAACGAAAAAATATTATCTAAATATAAAGAATATTTATATATGATTTGTTTTTTAATCTATAATTTGTGGGATAGTGGATGAACCCCAATTTTAGTATATGTTTGACTCTTTGGATCGGGCTAAAACTTTATAGACCCAAAAAAGCCTCTCATGATAGAATCTCCAAAGGATCATAAATAATTTATAAAATAATAAAATATCATTTATGTAAATTTGTAAAAATATGAAGCTTTTCATTTTTTTTTTTTTTGACAAAAACTAAACAAAAATACTATATACTATATGTTTACTACACGACGTTATGGCTGACTCACGAGATTCAACAAAATATATAAATTAATCTAACAAAAAAAATTGTTTTATAGCTACTTGTTTAATAATATTCCAAACACTTTTGAATAAAAAAAATATAATATCATAAATAATACTATGTAACAACTACTTTGTATGATAAATACTATTTTATTTGAAACAGATAGTTAATATTAACTTTTTTAAAAAGACTAAAGTTGTATATTTAATATATATATCTTCTATTTGTAAAAAAGAAAATGATTAAATTTGAATATTCTATAATTATCCAACAATGATGAGATCCATGTTTTAAAAGAGGTGGTGTCTCCTCTAAGTTGGTATGTCATTATTGGTTAATTCAAGTGGACATTATTTTATTTTGCAATTTGTCATTATTTAATTATTTGTAATTTAATTTAAACTTATAAAATAAAGTTACACTTTTAGTCAAAATGGTCTCATAATATTCTTAGTACCCGTATAAAGTACTATAATCATAATCTTTAAAATCATGTAACATGTGGAATACGTTCTTGTTAAATTGAGTAAATTACACGAATGGTCTCTATAGTTTGGGGTAGTTTACACGTTTGGTCCCTAACTTGGTTTTTTAACTCGGAAGGTCCATAATGTTTGTTTTTTTTGCGCGTTTGGTCCCTATCTTACCTAAAAAGACTATTTTGCTCTTGATTTTTTAATTTATTTAAATAAGATGGGGTAGGTAAAGTGAGGTGGAAGTGGGGTTGGGGTGTGTTTATTTAAATAAATTAAAAAATCAATGGTAAAATAATCTTTTTAGGTAAGACAGGGACCATACGCGCAACAAAAACAAACAGTAGGGACCTTCTGAGTTAAAAAAAATAAATTAGACACCAAACGTGCAAATTACCCCAAACCATAGGGACCATTTGTGTAATTTACTCTGTTAAATTCTTAGTTAATATTCTTTTGACGAATTTGAACAAGATAAAAAGGTCAACTTGTGGATGTAACGTAATCTTGATTTTAATCTGATTATTTAATTTCTCATTTAAATATTGTATTTTGTGGACTTCTTTTTGGATTATTAAATTTATTATTTGGTGTAGTTTGTGATGGTGATATTAAAGGGGTCAGTGGACATATCTTTTGAAAGGAACAAAGAGCCAGCGGCATTTGCGGAAATAACAGCAATGGGAGGAATAACTTCTGAAGTAAAAAAGAAATTAATATTTCAATTAGGAACAATTTTACTAGAAAAATTGGCAATTCCAAGAACAAGATTATTTGTGAAGGTTTTTGATACTACCATGGCTACTAAATATGCCAGACTCTAGTTTTTATTTGTATGTGAAATGATCAAATTTGGTGTAATTTATGATTTTTATTGTATAAGTAATAAAACTATAATATAGATTATGTTCGATTTGACCATGGAAATGTTAGAAAAAAAAGAGGCTTTTTCGTTTTGATAATTGGTTATAAAAAATATGTATTTAACAAGTTTTAGAAGTAAAATGTCATTTTGAATAATGATAAAGACAATACAATTATGGGTACATATTATGTATAACATATATTGCATAATTTATAGAATGTTAATACATATTATGTTAAATTTAACCATGAAAATTCTAGAGGAAATGGGGTTTTAGCAATTTATATTTCCCTCATTTCTATGAAATTTTAAGAGTGTATTTTATATTTTCTTGTTTGTTGGATTATGAGGTGACATGCAATAGTTTTAAGGGGCAAAAGATAATGAATTGAAGTTTGGTGATTAATATTTGATGAAAAGTTGTCAAAGTGACATGATGATCCTTATAATGGAATAGCATACTAACTAGTAAAGACAATTTGATTGAAGGGTCCAAGTTATGGCTGAGGGTTGACCTTATTGTGGGGTAGGAGTAGCACTTGTATTTCATTTTTAAAACTATACTCTTAATCAAAAAGCTAGGAGAGTATGATGTATAGGTGCGTTTAGTAGGGGTGAGCAAACCCAAACCAACAAACCGAGAAACTGACTAAAGCCGACAAAACCGAAACCGAAGCAAAACCAACGGTTAAGGTTTGAATTTTTTAAAAACTGAAAAATCGGGTTCGGTTTCGGTTTTTACCCAGAAACCCATCCAACCCGAGAAACCAAACCATACTTAAAATCGACAAACCGTCCCAAGAAACCGACTGATACTTGATTGTGTTTTGGTTGTAACAGACTATTTTTGGCTTTGGTTGTAACTTGTAATAAACTATTTGGTTGTAAGACTCATGCTTTTTGAAGTATTTAACTTCAATTTTGTGTTTTTTTTTTTTTTGAAGTATTTAACTTCTTGCTTCATCTCTGGAAAATTGCTTAAAACCTAAAACCCATGGGTTTAAACCCAAATGCCGTGAGTGTATGGGTTGAACCCAAAAAACCGAAAAACCGCCCAAACCGATCTCAGAACCCGAGAAACCGAAGCGACGAGAAACCGATCCTATTGGGTTCTGAAAACCAAAAACCGACTATTTATGGGTTGGGTTGGATTTGGGTCCAAAACCGACCCAAACCGACCCATGCATAGCCCTAGCGTTTAGTTATGAAAAAAAAATTCATATTTTAAAAAAAATTTAAAGAAAGGATTTTTAAAAACGAGTTTGGTTTAATAACTTTATTAAACTCTTTTGAAGAAATAAGAATTTTTCGTTCTCTAAGATTATAAAAAACTTCGAAAAATAATAATTATTGTTTTCAAAATTTTAATTCAAAAAGTTTTTTAAAATATAAACACACAAAAACTCATCCGAAGAACTCCTTTTGCTCAGTTCGGCAACAGATTTAAAAGCCTTATTTGAACATCTTTTTAAATCTGGGGTTGGCTAAAAAGACACATCAGTTTACCATATAGACACCCTAATTCTTTTGGTTCGAACTAAATTACAATAAGTAAAAAAAAAAAAAAAAAAAAAAAAAAAAATCTGCTGCAACGTATAGATCATAGAATTCTGATCCCAAAATTCAACAAATCAAAGTCTTTGTTTGGATCTGAAGTCCAAGAACTCCTTCTTCCATTGTATGATCAATTGCATACTGCATGTTCTTCAAGTCATTGCATGCTTCTGCTTTCCACTTATGCTCTTGGTCCTCAAGCTTCATCTTCTCAGCAACTTTCACCAATCACCATTTTCTCAAGCTCTTGCTTTGACAAATCTTTCACTAAGATTAGTAACAATAACTTTTTCGTCTTACCACTGGTTACTACCTTAGGCGGCTAGGTACGGGCAACGCGTATTCGCGTTAATCCGACGTGGAGGTGTAAAAACGTCGGTATAACGCACCGAACACCGCGCCCGGCTTGCGTTATTACGCGTTACGTTATAATATGTTACTGTGGTAACGCTTGACAACGGGTACAATTCGAAGCAAAAATGATCCAACGTCTATATTTTTAATTTTTCAGCCGTTGTAAAACGGTCAAAAATGTAAAAAAAAATTAATACAATTTCAATCTTTTTTCAACTAT